AACACCTTCTGACCAATCAGAATCGAGAGTTCAGAGCCTGTCATGTTTGCATTATTCTTATGAAGACATTTTATAGTGCAATATGTTTTACTTGTTTTTGAAGTGTATGCATTGAGAAGTTTGCTCTAAGCCTGGGATTGCTGTGCTTTGGGAAAATAAAATGGTAGAAATCCTCTAGCAGATGTCATTATGAACACCATGAGGCCACAGGTTAACAATTACAATTAACAATATCACTTTATTATCGTATACTTTCTAAAGCAAGCAAGTAAAGAACAAGTGGAATTCTTTAATGCATGTTTGTTGATGGTTAGAGAATCTCTCTACATGCACTGGTTCAGGCTGGTGCTCTGGCTCAGCGGTGTGGAAAGCGCCGGGTGACTCAGTGTAGGTTCTCCCGGAGCTCCAGCGCTGCTTACTGAGCTTCAGAACGCTGGTCTGGGAGAAGGTGCCGTCGGCCTGACGCTGATACGGAGCCGTCTGCACCTCGTCCCCCGTCACGCCGCTGCTGTCCTCAGACCAGGACAGGGTGACCCCGTCAGGGTAAAAGCCCCGAGCCACACACACCACACTGACATCACCCTCAGAGAGCGGAGAAGCAGGAGGAGCCAGCAGGAGCAGAGACGGAGGAGACGACGGACGATCAGATATCACTACAGGGACAAAACTTTGATTTAACGTGGCACCATCATCAAGGAACATTGTTGCTGTTCTTCACTCACTTGTAAGTTTACTCAGTATTAAATAGTCTACTAAGGCTTGTGTCTGTTAAGGATAAAATCAATTAGGATCAAAGTTGGATTAAAAAGTAGATTCAGTGGATTTGGAGAGGTTTCAAGACTTAATAATGCTGATTAACTTCTCTATTAATTAGTATGCCTAATTATTACTTACAATGTATTGCAGTGCTTCATTATTTTACAAAATGTCATTTTAAATGTTTTATCATTATTGTTTCTCATTCGATTAGCTTTTTTTTGTCATGTTATTTTTTTATATTTAGCTCTATTCAAAAGATTTTGGGCATCAGCCTGATGTCCACGTCTTTGCAAAAGGGCACAGACTTCATTTTTATATTTAATCTATTCATTCATTCATTTTTATATTTAATAATAATAAATAATTACATATATTAAAATGCAAATTATCAATAGTGTTTAAAATGCCATGAAGGCTTTTTTGTTTACATTTTAAAAAAAATAAAACAAGTAAAACATGGGATTGTAAAAATTGGAGTGTAGGTTTTTGACTTATGACATTTTTTACTTAAAATGAATATATTATTATTATTAAAAATAATTAAAATTGTACATTTTTGCCAGCTGTTTTTATCAACAACAAAAAAAAAGATTAACTTCTGTCAATCATGTACTTATTCATCCATGTTGACCTAAAGTTGGCCTAAACATTGAAATAAGGATTAAATCAATAAAACAAATTTTTGCTTACCAAGGTTGGTGCCTTGAGCAAACACATAGGCTCACGGTGTTAGAGCTCAGTACAAAAACCTCAGCGCTGTAATCTGAGCACTTCACCGCTCCTGAATATAGACAAAAGAGCAGAAAGTTTCGCGGATTTAGTGCAGAGCATATTTCGAAGGCTTGCTAACACTCTCTATAAAGCCTGTATTCATTATCTCTGATCTGTGTGAAGTGATGAATCATGTGTAAAATTCAGTGTGAGAAATGAATCGTGTGAAAATGAATGAATCACATGAATCAACACATGATTTTCAAGTTGGTGACAATGTTCAACAAAACTTAGTACGTTGTGCATTAAAGAATAATGTGTAGCATGGAGATTTCTGAGCACACGCTTCAGAGGAGGTTTTTGTACGACGGCTCTGTTGGACTGGAGCACTGTGGCTCCTGCACAGCCAATACAAGCACAGTAATAAACTGCTTCATCTTCAGCTCTCACTCCATCGATGGTCAGATAATCCTGATTGCCCGAGTCAGTGAAAGTGAACCTGTCGGGTAAATCGCTCGCTCTTATGTCGTTAAAAAACAGAAACTGAGGAGGAGCACCGGCTTTTTGTTGGTACCATGAAATGTAATACTCATCATCTTCTGCAGTGCAGAGTATCGACACCTTGTCACCCAGTTTCACCGACTTGGACTTCTCCTGACTCAAATTATACGCCGTTAAACCTGAAAGACACGAGAAGGACATGAACGTTAAATAAGTGCACTAATTTGGACTTGTATACTAAAAAAAAAAAAAACATAACAGGAGCTCTGCTTCATCTCATCATTGCGTTGTTGATTACTCTGCTATGGCCGAATGCCCACAAGTGGTTTACTCCTTAAGTCATTTTATAATTTGTAGGTTAATAATAGCGTTGTTTGATAGTGATAGTCTTACCGGTCAGGGAGAGCAGGAGTCCAGTGACCGACACAGCGTTCAGGATCATCATGGCTTTACCTTGTGTATGATCAGAGAAGATCTGAGAGCATTCAGATACATAGGTCTTTTATGTAAAAAAAAAAAAAGTAGCTTACACACAGAGAGAGAGAGAGAGAGCAAAAAAAGAGAAGCAGGTGGTGGGAGTGTTTCAGTTCCTCATCCTTTCTGAATCTCTGTGCCGTTTCTCAATATAGCTAAAGTGGAGAAACCCAAGTACTCTGCACACCTGCACAGATCAACACACACACACGCACGCACGCAGACACACTCACACACACACACACAAGAAGTAACCATGCATGAGATCTGCTTCGCATATGCATTTTGCATAATTATCTGAATCTTACCCTTACAGCTTTATATTATCATTTATATGTTGCTATGAATTAAATATATTGTGTTATATTATTCGACCACGATGCTGTGGCTATTAGAGGACCACGAACACACACTGTGCATAGAAAAAGATGAGCGTTTGTTGAAGGAGTGTGTATTGCAAGTATTCACCTCCTCTTGAAATTCTACAATTTGCTCTTTGTTTTTCAAGATGCTTGTGGTTCAGGTATGTTCTCTAACAAAATCTGGGTTCTTCCAGGAGCAGGTGAGGTTACACTTTAAACAGCAGATGTGAATACTTATGCAATCATTTATGATGATGATGGTTATTATTATTATTATTATTATTAATAAAACAGCTTTTCGTGTTATAAAGAACCACACACTGATGTCCTGGAGATCTTCTAAGAAAACTTAAAAGATACTGCTTTGACAGCGACAAAGTGTTGACACTGGAGACTCCTTCCAAATGTTTCAAGCCAAAGCATAAATAATATAAAGTCATTTTGGCTTCATTTAGCATTAAAGGTCCCCTGAAGTGCCTTGAAATACGCAGCATTATTCTATGTGGTGACCTAATTTCAACTGAAACAGGAAGACAGGGCGGGACATATCGAGAAGCCCCGCCCCCTTTTTAAAAAAAAGCCAATAGCGTTTTTTTATGAAATTAACAGATTTTATAATCGATGCATCGTCATATACAAGTCTAAAATATATATATATATATATATATATATGTATAAAATGTGATATGCGTTCTCTAAATCCGCCATTAGAGGTCAGGCTTTTCTCGTATTTAATTTCTTTACTGACCAGCAGATGGCAGTGTTGATTAAATAAAACATTTGTCCCTATAGAGCAGTGGTCGCCAACCCTTCAATCGCGATATCACTGTCCCAGTAGATCCCGAAAATAACAGTAAAATAAGTACAAAAAAGCATTACATTTCTCCATTCTTTGTACTGTATTTTTTGTACTCATTTTTCTGTTATTTTCGGGAGCTACTAGGACAGTGAACAGAGGCCAGAGACGCTGAAGACGAGCGCAAAGAGGAGAAAATACTGTAGAAGGCAGAGAACAACAGCTCACTGTGTTCACGATGGTCGAAATATATGAAGAAAATATTGAATTGGGGGTATGGGGTTATATTAATAAATCACTGAAAGGAACTATCTTGAGAAACGTTTCGATGGCAATAATGGCATTTTCTTCTCTTTGTATAAAGCGCTGCTCTGCTTTGTTTACAGCGGTAACCAAGGAAACGCTATATCGCGGCTGGTTCATAAGCGCCACCTGCTGTCAGAGAGTGAATTTGCGTCTCATTCAGACATTCTGATGTTTTTGTTTCATGCAGATGTTTTATGTAGCCAAAAAAAAAAGGCTAAAGTTAGACTATTTTGCTTTAAATCCTGAAATTATACAATCTAATTCAAATAAAAAATAACAACTCATGCCTCATGCAACGTGTGCAGCATCTTTGTTTGGATCATGATTAAGACTTTAAGGCAGTGGTTGCCTCTAATTTCAAATGCCTACAGATATTTTTGTTTAAGACCAGCTTGCTTGTTATAAAGCAAATAGCCAATAAATACATTTGCTTAAAAAAATAACCCACCAGTATCAGAATCATTCAATTTTCTAATAAAAAAAAGTGATTCTGAATCAGCCGTTATCGGTGCATCACCACTTAAAATACTAAATAAAAGGCCTCAAAAGTACAAGTACAATCTGGGATGTCTTTTCCTATCGATTCTTCAATAGGTAGATCTCGTCTTTCATAAAGGCCAAGGTCAGGGATCTTGGGCTTAAAAAGGTTGGTGACCACTGCACTAGATCATACAAGTACCTACTGCATACAAACATTTCAAAATCCATGCGCACAACAGTCTAGATGCTTCAGTCTTTTCCATGTTGCCTGGGTCTCCATTAGCACATACACAGGCATGCAGAGAAGCATTAAAAAAGCCTCTCTTATACATATGATGGAAAAATTGCATCATCTTTAACACAACTAAAACACATATGGTCCATGGTTCCTAGTACTTGACACACACACTCATGCCTGTTGGGGGCATTTATTATACAGTATATCATTTCCAGTTCACTGATATTTATGATCTCTCTCTTTGCCCAGATAATTCCAGTTTGATCAGCTTCGCTGAGGCCACCAACGACAACTTCAAAGGCTGAAACTCGTCTGACTAGATGTCGCAGATTTCGACAGCCATGACACATTTGTTTCATTGGCAAATTAAGAACGTGTTCTCGAGCTAATTATGAATGCTTAACGCAAATCTCAACTAATTAAACTAATCCCCGTTAGTCAAATGATGAAGAGAGGGAGAATGTGATGACTATATGAAAGTCTCGACAAGTATTTGGAGACACATACACCCTCTTTTTTCTATTTTCTTTTTGCTGTGGTTTCGTTTGGACTTACCATTAAGCTCTAGCCTAAAATATACATCAGAACGCAGTTTTAAAAACCCTCCAGTGTTTTTATTTTGTTGTCAATCACATAGTTAAATGCACGGCCTACAATTATTTATATAGCAATGATAGTTGTATCTAAAACTTTACTAAAGTATATCCACATCACTGTGGACGAGAAAGTGCATTATTTTAAGTGTGCAATAAAACAATACAGCAGCACTGACACACTAACGTGTCAAAATCTTGAAGTGTACAGATTCCATTTGCATATAAGCATTACCATGCCAAATTACAACCTTAAAATTCATTATTACTTCTTCGGCACATTTCTGAAGCTGAAAACAGGAGCCGAAATAAAAACAGGAGCACCATGCAAAAATATGTAATGAACTGAATTATGATGCAATTCACCTTTTCATCCCATAAATGTATATGATTGTAAGTTTATTCCTTCAGAGCTCAATATATAGAATATGTTCAGTAGAGACAGAGAGAGAGAGAGAGAGAGAGATTTACAAAAATACAGATTAAAAAAATAGAGACAGCATCTTGTAACAATTAATAATTATATAAATTAACCTTACGACTGGAAATCAGTTGAAAAATTGGCTAGTGGAACAAAACACTATATCCTCCAGTCATCTGACAAACTATCTTCAACATAATATGATCTGAAATACAGTCATCATCGTCTCACATATTGTCCAGTCCAGATAATATGTAAACTGGGATGCAACCAATGGCATGAGCTGTAGTGCAGCATGCCAACCAGATGGGGCTGAAAGGGAACAATATATACTCATATATATGGCTCTATGTTTGCACGCTACATCAAAGAACAGATCTAAAAGGGTACAGCAGCTAAATCTGTGGGACTGCATGCATACTACACACACACACACACAGTCTACCTTCCCTTTGAGCTGTCAGATGAGGGCCAGCTATTGTGATTGGCGCCTGGCCGTTAACAGGTGGATAGGGATAATTGAATCAGATGAGAGTGTGGGATCAAAAGGCTGTGGGGGCAGATCGTGGAGGTGCTGCTGCCCCGCGGCCTGATTAAAGCCCCCCTGTCCTGACCTGCAGCTGCTCAGAACGGCCTCGGTCCCAGGGACATGTCCTCATCCAAAGATATTCATGCACACTTGACTCAAACCTTGGACTCGGGAACACATCTGATGTCTCTTATGGCCGTCGCTGCCGCATTTGGCAATGGTTGGAGATTCTGGCTAATGTTTCCGGTGAACACATAAAACACAGACAGACAGATGAGAAGGTTCACATGAGGAAACTATGGCAACTAGGCCTTTAATTGATCTGAACAACATCTCAATGGCCACAAGGGTGTTGATATGCATTGTTAGGGCGTTCTGAGTGGTCGCATGTGCTATGATTAGTTGTAAAAGCATTACTAGGCTGTTGCTAGTGTGTTCTGGGTGGTCAGTAAATGTGCGGGCATATTAGCAAAAATTCGATACAAAAAGGCCCTTTGTCTAATGTCAGTAGTGTAGCACAGTATATGAAGCACAGTTCACACAGAAGTCACTTTCAAACCAAGCAGCTGTTTGTTGGTCAACGTGGTGAATTCGCATGACCCAATGATTCAGATGCAAAATCTGTGTGGGAAAATATTTCGCCCTCATGCAAAATTCCAGATCGCACTACTTCCTATTGAAATGACTATGGAAATTTGCCAAACAATGGTTAATGTGACCACACATTAAGGCACTGCTATGGTGTTGTAGCTGGTTGCCAAGGCAGTGCTATACGGTTTCTAGGTGTTTTCAGTCATTTTTTGTATGCTGCTGCTAGTGTGTTTGTTACACTGGAGAAGAAAAAAAAAACTACACAAATTTAACCTGATATATTGATTGTTAGCTTCTCATTTGCCAAACAATGGTTAATGTGACCACACATTAAGGCACTGCTATGGTGTTGTAGCTGGTTGCCAAGGCAGTGCTATACGGTTTCTAGGTGTTTTCAGTCATTTTTTGTATGCTGCTGCTAGTGTGTTTGTTACACTGGAGAAGAAAAAAAAAAACTACACAAATTTAACCTGATATATTGATTGTTAGCTTCTCAAAACTTGTTTCAAGTAATACTACTTTGTATTGTCAATTAAAATGTAATAACTCGCTGAATGCAAAATGCCTCATTTAGCCAATAAATTCAATGACTTCAGCACTTGACACACAAACCTCAAGAAAGGTGAGACAATCAGCAAATGTAGAAAGATGAGCGTTTAACATCACATCACAAATATCCATCAATAACAAAAAAACAACGAACCTGAAG